GTTAGTGATGAATCACTTGAAGAAAAAATAAAGCGAAATTTTATCAGTACAAATATAAGTAGTACAGCTTTAATAAGTAATTTTAATAGAGAGTTTATAAATAAGATAAATATTCTAAAAAGTAATTATAATAATGAAAATAATAATAATTATGTCACAAATAGAAAAAATTATTTTCAGTGTGTAATCTCAGACTAATACAATTGATTTCCCTCCAATAACAGAAGAAGTTATCAATAGAGTAAATGTAATGGATATTAACAAAGGACCAGGAATTGATGGTATGCAATTGAAATACATAAAACCCTGTATTAGCAAAGGTTATAACATGCCTATTAAGTTTAACTTATTAAGAAGGGAAAAAACTTGATGGACTTAAAATATCAATGATAAAACCTATCTACAAGTCAGGAAAAAAAATTTCAATAGTTATAGACCAACTTCCATTTTACCTGTGATTGAAAAAATAATGGAAAGGTATGTATACAACAAAATGTTAGATTTTATTGAAAGAAATAACATTATGAACAAGTGTCAATATGGAGTTATTAAAAATAAAAAGGTTCTTGTATTATTTCTTGATTTAAGTAGAGCTTTTGATACATTCAATCATAAATAATGATGGATAAACTATACATGATGGGTATAAGGGAAAAGTTACATAACTGGTTCATGAATTATTTGAGTAATAGGGTTGTAATAACTAGAATTGGAGAAATAATGAGTGACCCAATGACTATAAAAATATGGTGTTCCACAAGGTTCTATTTTAGGTTCACTACTATTTAATTTATATGTTAATGATATTGTAAATATAGGTTTAAAGAATAAAATGTATCAATATGCAGATGATACAGGTTTAACTGTAATTCATGTTGATGTGGACGTTGGCAAAGACATTTTACAAGTTGATTTTAATAAATTATGGTATTGGATTGATATAAATGAAATATATATGAATACTGATAAAACAAAAAAACTATGATAATTCACTCACAATATACAAATATTACTAACAAACATTTTTTAAAGATTCAT